TTTTTTTTTTTTTTTTTGAGTCAGGGTCTCACTCTGTGACCCAGGCTGGAGTGCATGAACTGATTGTGGCCTGATCACTGAAGCCTCAAACTCCTGGACTCAAGTGACCCTCCTGCCTCAGCCTCCTGTCTATTTTTAACATTTTTTATTTTTATTTAAGTCAGAGTCTCACTCTCACTCAGACTGGAGTGCAGCAGCTTGATCATGGCTCACCCCAGCCTTGACCTCCTGGGATCAGACCATCCTTCGCCTCAGCCTCCTGAGTAGCTGAGACCACAGGCGCATGTCATTGTGCCAGGCTAATTTATTTTCTTTTTCATGGGTAATATCCTTTTTTTAAAGTTTTAATTTTAAAGATGGGGTACAATTTAGGGTTAGGTATACAAATGTTCATTATGCAGGTATCCTTGTTGATGAGAAGTGCCCCAGGCTAATTGTTTTTTCTAATTTTTTTTGAGTCAGAGTCTCACTCTGTCGCCCAGGCTGGAGTGCAGTGGCATGCTCACAGCTACTGAAGCCGCCACTTGCTGGATTCAGGCAATCCTTCCACCTCAACCTCCCAAGTAGCTGGGACTACAGGTGTGTGCCACCACACCTTGGCTAATGTTTTGACTTATTGTAGAGATGAGTTCTTGCTACGTTGCTCAGGCAACTTCCATGATGCTCGGCTAATTTTTTTAATTTATTGTAGAGACAAGGTCTTGCGAAGTTTCCCCAGGCTGGTCTTGAACCCCTGGGCTCAAGCAATCCTCTTGTCTCCACTTCCCAAAGGGCTGGGATTACAGGTGCCCGGCCATGACACCTGTTTTCAATTCTTTGGAGGACATGCCTAGAAGTGGAACTGCTGGCTCGTCTGATAACCCCGTGTTAGCTCATGAGGCAGTGCCAACTGCCCCCCACAGGGGCTGCACCCTTTGACACCTCCACTGGCAGTGTGCAAGGGTTCCGATTTCTCCACACTCTCGCCAACACCTATTTTCTGGTTGTTTGATGCCAGCCATCCCGGTGGGTGTGGTCTCTCAGTGGCTATGGTCTGCATTTCCCTGATGATAATGGTGCAGAGCAGCGCTCCATGTGCTTATTGGTAACTGGTACCTCTTCTTCGGAGAAGTGTCTGTTCAAGTCCTTTGCCCATTATCGAATTGAGTCGCTGGTCATTTTCTTGTTGTTATGTCCCTATCTCGTTCTCTTTCTCTATTCCTTTCTATAGCTCTGTCTGTCTCTGGCAGTCTTCTGTCTGCCTCTTCATCCTCCAGGCCTGAACACAAACGCCTCCCCCTTTGTAGCCCTCACCCCAATATCCTGAAGTTTGTACCACCTATTTGGTCCTTCGTAGCACTGGCCACAACCGATCATTCTGGATTTGTTAGTTTATTTTTAAGTTTATTTGTATGGGCTCTCTAAGCAGAAATGTTAGTTCGTTGTTCCTCTGCCCCTGGCCTGGGAGCCAAGGGAGGGCAGGCTGGGCTGTGCTGGTCACCTCTGTGTCCCCAGCACTACGCAGGGCAGGACCTGTGAGCAGTAGGTATTCAGGGCGTGAATATCTGAGTGAATGGATGGGTGGATGGATGGATGGCCGGATGGATGGATGGGTGACTGGGTGGGTGGATAGATGAGTGGGTGGGTGAAGGGGTGGGTGAATGGATGGATGGGTGGGTGGGTGGATTCCTGAGTGGGTGGGTGGACTCCACTGGCCTGTCTCTGCCTCTGCAAGACTAGGTGACTCTGTTTGTCTCATCTTCCCGCCCACGTCGGCCCCCTCCACCCCAGGTCTCTCCCCCACAGAGCCCCCCAGTGCCCCAAGATGGCTACAGGTCTGGGGGAAGAGGGGGGATTTGTAGACTGGCCTGCCCTGGCCAGGGTCCGCCCCACCAACAGGTCCTGGCCTCGTCCCCCCTCTGCCCCCAGCCCCAGG